CAATGAATATAAATGTATAACATGCTAGGATAAAAAAAGAAAAGGGACTGGTTCAGATTTTTGAGTTTGTAGTCAAAAACATTCAACGAGATTTTTGTTGATGGTTCCTCATCAGATGTACAGGTATTTGAGGTTCATTGATATTTTTCTCTCCTCAGTGGTCTCCATTGAAGACCCATTTGACCAGGATGACTGGGAAGCATGGACCAATTTCACAGCCAGCACCAGCATCCAGGTGGTGGGTGATGATCTCACTGTGACAAACCCCAAGCGTATTGGCAAGGCTGTCGACCAGAAGTCCTGCAACTGCCTGCTCCTGAAGGTCAACCAGATCGGCTCGGTCACCGAGTCCCTTCAGGCGTGAGTATCTACATCACAGCAGGGCCGAAACACTTGTTGCCATCATTCTGAGCAGTAGATGCAATAACGGGGTTGAGCTTTTATTTTTTTTATTTTTCCTTTCTTTTAGTTGCAAGCTTGCCCAGAGCAATGGCTGGGGTGTTATGGTCAGTCACCGCTCTGGAGAGACAGAGGACACCTTCATCGCTGACCTTGTTGTTGGTCTCTGCACTGGACAGGTAGGAACCTTTTTTTATTGGAAGCAGCATATTAACAAATCAAACTGTGCCCTAAATGTTCATTTTTTTTAATCTAATGTGCTGCTAAACTTCTTTGCCAGATCAAGACTGGCGCTCCTTGCCGATCTGAGCGTTTGGCCAAGTACAACCAGCTCCTCAGGTGAGTCTGCTCCCACAAAAAAACACGCTCAATTCAAAATGTATAAAAATTTGGCAATTAACAAGCTCATGACTTTTCTTCTAGGATTGAGGAAGAGCTTGGTGACAAGGCCCGTTTTGCAGGCCAGAACTTCAGGCACCCCATCTGAGCGGGTCTTCCTCGGGCCACTGTTCATTGCTCATAAATAATCCCCGCACATATAAATGCCTCCACGCTAGGTTGCCTGCCCTATATGGAGAGAAGAAGATGGAGAAGACACCTTTATAATCCGTGGTCCAAGTCTGTAGTCTGTGGCGTTTAAAAGCGACTCCACGTCCTGGTGCGGCCACGGCTCAGCTCGTCCTCGAACCATGCTTTAAGCTCCCATATAGTGTTGGTCTTTGTGTTTAGTGTTCGTGTAACTGTGTGTGAGACTTCTTAAAGCTTCTTGTGAGTTGTGGTGATCGTGAACCTCGGATTATTTGAGCAAATCTAACTTTAGCAAGGTTCTGCCTTAAGCAGTGGTTAGAGTACTGTGTGTGCGATGTTGAGCTGCATCTGGCAAGTTCGTGTTTCTGTAACTGTTGGCAGAGGTATATAATAAAGTTAATATAGTTTCAAATGTTTTTCTCTGACATTTTTATTCACTTAATGGAAATGCATGTATTTCTTTGGGTACTCTGGTTTCCTCCCACATAAAAACATGCATGTTAGGCTGATTGGTAACTAAACTGTCCCTAGGCGTGAGTGAAAGAGTGAATGGTTGCCTCCGTGTCCCTGTGATGGACTGGAGACCTGTCCAGGGTGTACCCAGTCTCTTTCACAGCAACTGCTGGACATGGGCACCAGTGACCCCCATGACCTGAAAAGGAAGAAGCGAGTAAAAGCTGATGGATGGAAATGCATGTATTTTTAAGCACTTTTTAGAGCAGCCAGTCCAGGTCTTTAAAAAATTTAAGAAGAAACTAGCTTTTCTTTTTGTGGTGGGGGGCAGGTGTAAACAAAGTAGCATTGATCATATTAAATTACATTCCTGGGTAAGAGATGCATGTGTGAATTGTGTAATGCAACCCAAGAGCCTAAAATGAGCTCAGTGCTGTGAGATGCGATTTCTTTCCACTCTTCTCACCTCGGGTCATTGAACCGGAAGGCTGTTTTTGTTCATGGAGTCTTACCAAGATAAACAAGGGTCCATTCACCAAGGTTTGGTACCACAGCTGTGTTTGTGCCACTTCAATTCACATGCAGCCTTTTCTGAACCTGGCTCCACTGTCAAACCATTATCCAAGAGCTGTTGAACAAACTGTTGTCACGCTTTGGATACCAGAGATGCCTCTTGGAAGGTTTTAGAAACTTTAAACGTAGGAAGAGTACGTGTATGTTGTCTCCCAGGAAACGATCTTATTAAAACTTGATCAAAATGAATTGCCGACAGACGCTGCAGCGGTTAATATTTTGGGCGACAAAATATCTCTTTGAATCTAGCACCATCTTGTGGTCAAATATATGAAGTGCAGCTTCCCCTCAAATTGCGTTGTCCATCTGGTTGCTACACTTTTAGCAAAACCTACCAGATATTCACTAGTACCGCTCAGTCGAGAAAATAAGATTTGCCTTTTGTGTTTAACCTTAAAATTTGGGTTGCAGAAGCTATTTATAAGCGCTGCTGGAAAAGTAAAGTTCCCATTGCGCATGCGTAGTACAAGGCCGTTATCTGAACGAAAGTATTTAGTAGTTGTCACAAGTTTGATCCCACTTTAAACAGAAGGGAAAATGCTATTTTTCTTAGACATTAGATTCGGAACAACTTTCGCCCCCTTTTTTTAAAATTGCATTTAAGAATTATAATTTTGTGCACGTGATGCTGATCAGAATACCTGAATGTTTCAGTGTTCTGTATATAATTTTTTTTCCTGTTATGTATAATGTGGTACACAACTACAGCATTATATTATATACAAGTAAACTGTGCACAACAGAATTCTTTGTGCTGCTGTTCGGTGTATTGTTTTTGTACTATTAGTGCTTAGTGTATATTAGTTTAGATCTTAGATCTTATTACTGTTTTTATTTAACATTTTATATTTTTATTGGATGTAACTGGGACCCTGTGTACACAATTTCATTCCACCACATGTACCACATGTGGGGCGTATGACAAATAAAGAAAACTCTGACTCTGTAAAAGAACAACACTTCTACTTGAGCATGCATCAGGTTACTTCTACTTGTTTTTCTTAATTTTTTATGCATCTCTTTTGCAACAAGCTTCTGCATACTTACAGCTATTTTAGCCATACATATTTCAGACTTTTATAACTAATTCTATTTATAAATATAACTTTCAGGAACCTTTTAGCTATCCTTTTGCTTCTTTTGGGTGTGTTTTGCTTCATTTAGCTAGCATTTTGCTACTTTTAGCATGTGTTTGCTACCTTTAGCTTACATTTTTCTATTTTAAGCTAATTTTATTTGAGTTTTTTTTTAGGTTTAAGCTGGCATTTTGCTTTTAGCAAGCATTTTTCTAATTTTAACTAACTTTTTACTACTTGCCTTTAGCATTAATGCTACTCTTTTTTGCATTAATACCACTCTAAGCAGGCCTTCTTCTACATGTAGCATTTAGCTAATTTTAGCACTTAACTCATTTTCTCAATTTGTCTTTTAGCTATCATTTAGCTACTTTAAACTTTTAGCTAGTATTTTGCTAAAAGTTAGATTTAACAAGGTTAAATCAGTCCCTCTGTATGGATTCTTGTTTCAGAGGACCTGACTTAACCTTGTTAAATTTTTCTACCTGGATTATTGAGCATGCATCAGGACATTGAAGTTAGATTCTTGCTTCTTTTTGCTTGTATTTAGCTGCTTTTAGGTACGTCCTAATGCATGCTCTATAATCCAGGTAGAAAAATTTAACAAGGTTAAGTCAGGTCCTCTGGACGGATTCCTCTTTGTTTAAACACTTCAACTTTCATGCAAAAGGCTTTTAGGTGGGGTTTTGCTACATTTATCTATCATTTTGCCATTTTTAGCTTACATTTTTCTGTGTTTGACTTACCCCAAATTTAACTGTTTTAGCTAGAATTTTCTAGTTTTAATGAACCCTTTTGTCCATTTAGCTGTTTCTAGTTTTGTGCTTATTTTATCTTTAAGCGGACTTTTTGCTACATTTAAGTAGCCCTTTGCTTCTTTTAGCACACATTTAGCTACTTTTAGTTTGCGTTTTGCCTGTTTTAGCTTGCATTTTTCTATTTTTAACTATTAGTTAGCATTGTGCTAACATTTGTCTTGTTTTATTTCCAGTATTTTGGTACTTGCACTCTTTATTTAGGTTTATAGTAGCATTTTAGATGCTTTTTTTTTTTTTTACCTTTTAATGACCAAAAAAAAAAAAGACTATCACTTGTAAAAAAACTAGTAAAATCCATCCATCCATCCATTTTCTTTACCCGCTTATTCCATTTTGGGTCACGGGGGTCGCTGGTGCCCATGTCCAGCAATCACTGTGCGAGGGGCGGGGTACACCCTGGACGGGTCGCAAGTCCATCACAGGGCCACATAGAGACAAACGAGACAAACAACCATTCACTCTCTCACTCACACCTAGGGACAATTTTAGAGTTACCAATCAGCCTAACATGCATGTTTTTGGACTGTGGGAGGAAACCGGAGTACCCGGAGAAAACCCACGCATGCACGGAGAGAACATGCAAACTCCACCCAGAAAGGCCCCTGGACCGGGGTTTGAACCAGGGACCTGCTCGCTGAGAGGCAGCAGCTCTACCAGTTGCGCCACCGTGCTGCAACTAGTAAAATAAAACTACATTTTAAAATGCCAATCAGTAAGCAGTTTTCCCCTGGTCTCAGTCAATAGTTTTGTGTTTGAGATGAGAAGTTTCTCATCATCTTCAGCCAGGACTCCCTGCGTGTTTCCAGATCTGGCCGGTGGGTGACGACATTTCACCAGCTGAACTTTGAGAACCCCCAGCTGCTCTCACCCCAAGATGAAGAAGGATGCTGTCATGCTGAGTGCCTCTCATACACATTAGTCTGAGCATCCAGGCAACGATTACTCCCTCTTTAAATTTAAGCCCATCATTCATGACAGCATTCTGTCCAACGTGGCCGGCTCCGTTATAGCTACATGAGAAAAGACATACAGGTGGCACTGCAGGTGTTGTACTCTGTGCAGTGGCAACACTTGGCTCACTAACGGTGGCTAATTGCCCCTGCTGCTGCTGCTGCTGCTGCTTTTGTTTGTTGTTGCAGCCTCTCATCAAACAAATCACAGATGTTGTAGATCAAGCTTTTTAAGGTAAGTGCAGTGAGCTGCAGCCAGCTTCTTCTTTGTATTTGACATTCGTGAGTAAATAAACCAGAAAAATAAAGAGAGAGAGAGAGAGACATGTGCGGGAATAGTTTGGAAACGTTGGACTGATAACGCTCACTCACTCTTGCTGGTTAACCAACGTTAGCGCTGCCTAGCACTGATTGGGAATGCCAGGTGGGAGCCGTCTAATGCCTGGACACAAACGGCTCGCTGACACCGGTTAGTTCAGAGCACATGCAGCACACGCACCGTGAAATGATTTTCTTTATTACTTATTGGTACACGCACACGGCAACATTTGAACACCTCTCAACAAACGTGTCGTTCCCCGAACCACCTAGTGTAGCATCTTGTTTCCAGAGAGTAGTCGGAGCCCACGGAGCTATTGTCATTAGCTCCAGGAAACGTTAGCCGGCGATGCTAACTTGCTGTCTTTGTGTGTTAGACTTGTGCTTAATTATTGCTGTGTTGCTCGGCGTAGTTTGTGCTTATTTCCCCCCCTCCTACGAGGACAGTGTGAGCTTGTTGTAAAGAAAACTAACGCTGGATGACTTTAACACGTTTGTTGACTTGTGATAGCATAAAAGAATCACGCGGTGCTGATCTTTAACTGGAGAAATTTTGTCAACAAATCCAGAACCAGCTGCTGAATTCTGGCAGCAACACTCAGCAGCTCAAACCACAGGAAGGGGAACACCACAACATCCAGCAATTTTTTTTAAAAAACCTATCCACTGCTAAAGTACATCAAGTTTGAAAGTAGTTGCAACAAGAGATTTGACATGAAACGTTAGAAGATGCTGTGGTCTGTGAAGAAACTGTTTTTATTGCGTGCTTGTGACTCACTCTTTCCCCCATTATTCTTGTCTGACTACTCTGCAAAACTGTCTTATTCACTAAACCTAATGAGCATCCACTTCACTAAATGATTAAAGGAGTGAGAAACATTTGTTTGGCTTCATATCTGCCAAGCTATTTTCAGCCTAACAAGGCTTGCCTTTTCTCACTTGTCACTATTGGGCTGAGTAGAATAAAATCTACATCCCATCTTCTGATACCTTGACAGCAGTGCTTTTAAACAGCATGTTGCATTCAGTGGCTATAAACAGCTCAACAGTGAGAGGGGTTTAGTTTCTGTGCTGCTACACCTCCAGAGTCCAAACAATTGTTTGGCAGTTGTTCAGGTGTGCTGTAATGGCATGTTGTTTAAAAAAAAAGAGGTCACTAAGCAGAAATTAAACTTTATACACACTGGTGGTTTGTAAAGTCTGCTTGCCAGCTTTGTCACATTTCTTGCATAATCATCCTGATGCAGTGATGTGAGCTGACCTCAGTCATTTGGTTTTATTTTTGATGTTAACCTCTTATCAGCTTGTTTAAAGCTGCAGAATTAAAAGACACGTGTCCATTATCAGTGATGTGTTGACGTCGCCTGAGTTTTGACACCTGACTCGATCTCGTCCTACAACTTTCACTGCTGCCTTTCTCTTGGCTATTTATGGAACTGCGCTGTGTTTATTTAGCTTTGAATGGCATGAACCTAACAGGCTTGGTTGCAAATTAAAGCAGCTTAAGATTCATTTTTGTTAATTTTTCTAAAGTAAGAATGACTCATCAGTAATTGATTTTTTTTTTTTTAAAGAGTGCAAAACAAGCAGAAAAAGGCAGTCAAAGGTAATGATACCAAGGCCTGTCGCAATAAACAATAAATCAATTAATTGCATGCTAAATGAAAATTATCGGCCTCATTTTCATTTATTGGCTTTATCGTTTCTTCGTGTCTCTCTCTTTCTGAAGACACTGGATGACAAAAAGCTAAACTCTAGTGCTCTTCACTGACCCCTCCCTTTCTCTTTTCTCTTTAAAATCAATTTCAACCGTCCAAAATTGCGTTTTTGGATCGTTAAATGCAGCTAAGCTGAGAAGCTAAACTACGAGCTAAGCTAACAGGCCAACCTGGGTGGGGGAACCTCCGTCTTGTCAAAGCTCCAAAATTCACAGTTGAAACCCGTGCCTTTGTGTAAAAAGTTTTTCTCTGCAAAAAGAAGCTGAGAACTGGTTTACTGATTTTTTTTTTTCTAATTAAAAGCTTTATGTGACAAATGCTATGTTAATGAGCTCAAACCACACCAAGCGTCCGCCATTTTGAGAATCAGAGACAGCCCATGTCACATCAAGGGGCCTCCATCCCATTTTTCTCAAAGAGACACGCTGCTCGCTCCCTCACTATCCATCCTTTGGTTCACAGTCTTATACTGCCATCTGGTGGTTGAAAAAAGGTACTACATGCAAAACAAATTAACAAACATCCACCCATCAATTATCTTTTACCCACTTGTTCCATTTTGGGTCATGGGGGTCACCGGTGCCCATGTCCAGCAATCACTGTGTGAGGGGCGAGGGACACTCTGGACAGGTCTCCAGTCCATCACAGGGACACATAGAGACAAACGAGACAAACAACCATTCACTCTCTCTCTCTCTCACACCTATGGACAATTTAGAGTTACCAATCAGTCTAACATGCATGTTTTTGGTCTGTGGGAGGAAACCAGAGCACCTGGAGAAAACCCACGCATGCACGGAGAGAACATGCAAACTCCACCCAGAAAGGCCCCCCGGACTGGGATTTGTACCAAGGACCTGCTCGCTGAGAGGCAGCAGCTCTACCAGTTGTGCCACCGTGCTGCCCCAATAATGACTAATTATTGTCAAATTTCAAACAATATTATCCTTTATCTCAATAATTTCTGAGACAATTAATCGTCCAGCAAAATTTGTTCTTGTGACAGGCCTAATAATACCTTCTAAATCTAAATCATCTGCTCACACAGACTCATGTTTGTGCTGCTGTTGTTTGGCGCATTGCTTTGTACTATTAGTCTTTAGTATATTCTTCGTTTTATTTCTTAGTTCATATCTTAGCTCTTATTACTGTTTTTTTTGTTACAGTTTGTATTTTTGTTGGATGTAAGTGGGACCCTGTGCACATAGTTTCATTCCACCACATGTACCACATGTGGTGTGAATGACTATAAAGACACCTTGACCTTAAATGATTAAAGGCCGAGCGTTCCTTGAAGGAATGCATATCACCTTTAATGCAAGATCTGTCGGCACTCGTTGTTGTGAATGACTCTCAGCTACTACCTCACCAACTTTTTGCTAAATTGCTATAAAATGGACTGAGTTGGCGCCTTCTTTGTGCCAGCTAATATTGATTTTCTGCGGCAAGCATCTTGAATTGGCGTGACTCCAAAAGTTAGTTATAGGTGAATGTCCAATCATTACTTTTTGACTGTTTTATTAAATTTTCTTCTCTGGTTCATGAGATATTTTGCTAACAGACTAAACAAAACCGATGTGAACAATTAACGTTTTAAGCAAAGATGTGCAGTCTGTAATACTTGATATATTCGTTGTGAATTGGTCTCAGCGGATACTGCATCAAATTTTAGCTAAATACTTTTAAAACTGACATTTATAGCCGTTTTTGTGTTGGCCGATCTGTTGACTGTGGCGGCCATCTTGAATTGGACTGACTACCAGAAATTACTAAGTTGTAGATATACACCCATAGATTAGTTTTTGAAGGTTTTAATGAAATTTGTTCGTTTGTTAATGCAATATTTTGCTAACAAATAGAGTTGACTCCAATAATCAAGGGTAAAGTTTTAATGACGGGTCTCATGAGCTCAGTTTTCTCTCAGATTATAAGTTGGGGATAACTCTCAGCTGCTACCACACCAAACCTAGCCTCAGTATCTGAAACACTGACTTTGTAGCTATTTTTGTGTTTGCTAAAGTTGCAAACAGACAAAAACAGTATTGCCTTTTGTTGGATGGTGCTAAAAATATAAACAATTATGACACTTCATCCACCCAATAACTTTTTTATATGTGGGCTTTGGTTATTAATTTTCTAAATTAAGGACTTACCTTTCGTTATTAAAAAATACAAACTTCAATAAATGAACATCATTCGACAGTTAATCATACATTAAATTTAGGATCTTAAAACATTTGTATGGAATGCTGGAAACGGTTACACACTAAAAGATGTAATTTGACTTGCTTTAGAATAAAAAAAAATCATTAGAAGAACCAGTAAATACACTTCTTGGACATTTTCTTCTTGGTGTTTCGGTTGCTAGTGTTTAGTGGTTGTGATTTAGCTTTCCTTTACCTACCACTTAGTCTATAAACTCACAGGGTAAGGCTTCCATTACAGGCTATATGTTGATTACTACTTTAGCACAGCTTTGACCAAAAAGCCCCTTAATGATCTTTCCCCTCTTTATTTTGAAGGAGAGTTGTTTAAGTTTTGCAAAGAGGATAGTTTAGAATATCGTAAAATTAAGTCATTGTGGTGTTTGCTTTATTTATGTTTTTCACTCTGCGGTTCTGCTGCATTTTATGGGGTCTCATTTTCAATGGGATCTCAAGTACAACAGTGGTAAAAAATAACGAGGACAACAAAAAACATCCCATTGAGTAACACATCCAGCGACGCACCCTGTCCATCGAACAGTCGTCTAGTTTGGTAACGGCACAGCAGTGAAAAGTGAAGCATAATAAACCTGCTATTTTCCTTTAATGACTAATGTGTTTGAGTAATGGCAGCTCCCTGTGAGTAATATGTGGCAAAGGCCAAACAATGATGAGGAAAATCCTTTTTCACTGTGCTCTTTGTTGGACGATAGGTCAATACACACACTCTGGAATCCAGTATTAACATGTTGCACTCAAATAGCATTTTTTAGCTGTTTTTACCCTCAGATTCTGTCCTTCGTTATCCTCCAGAATTGTCATAAAAGCTGATTTTCCATTTAACTGTTTAATTCTTACACCTTCTAGCACTGACTTGCGTTAAGTGTTGTTTGCTGTCGATAAAGTAGCTATCCTGCATGTTAGGAGGCATTTTGTTTAAAAGAAATGTGATGAAGCTGGTTTGTTTCATTCAAAGATTTTAGGAACCGAGTGTC